AATTCTCTTCCCCATCTCTGGGGGTGGGGGAGGATGAACGAGCGACTGTGTGGAGTTTAGTTGCCGGCCAGGTTAAACCACGACAAATAGGTATGACTTTACTGTACAGCCTTGATAAAGGCACCCTTACACTGCATCTTGGAGACAGCTAAACAGCATCTGATCTCTGAACTGGAGGAATGAAAGCCACGACGTAAGGAATAGCACGCTTGCCCCAGAGCAGGCTGCCTGTGCGTGCACAGTTGCTTTCTCTCCTTGCAAGTCTGCAACATATTCTGAAAAAGAAAAGTGTATTCAACAGTTTTGGTTCCTCCCGCCCTGAAAGTCTGGCTCTGCTAATGTGCACATTATGTCATATGCATCCTACCCCTTTTATAACCGTGCCCTTCCTTTAGTAATGCAGCATATACTCTTTTTTCCAGAGCGGGACATAAGCCTGTATGTAGCTTGTGGACCTCACCCTGTGGCAGAGCTGGTTTTTGTTTCTTGACACCCAGACTAGTCTGCAAATCTGGTCTTTGGATGTCCGACTCTCTTTGACCTTATGCTCTTCAGATTTTAATTTAATATTGCAAATTCAACCTCAGCATACAAAGAAACGTAATTAGCAACTGTCAAATGGCCTAGAGTGAATCTAACAGTGGTGGCTCAATTGGGATGATGTAAACCAGACTTCAAAACTCTCAAATGCTACAGCTGTGTTTAAAAAGCAAAAAAAGGAAAAAAAACCCAGAAACTCAACTGAACTAAATATTCATACTAAGTATATTTTCTTGTAAATGCAGAATTCTTAGTCAATTGGAAAATTTTCATAACATTGAAACCCTTTTTCTGCAGCCCGATAAATACATGAATTAGCAAATATGTTTTGGAAAAGCGAGGAGACTTGTAGCCTTTTATCATTCCTTTATTGTGAACCCTAATACTTAAGGAAATATAAAAATAAGGTTTAATCAGCACCAATAGTAAATCTTAAACAGTGAACGGAGCTCTAACCATTACTTGGTCAAATGGTGTGGACCAAGGTCACATTTCAACCTTGATCTTGTATAGAATGTTAATGGAGGGGGAGGTTGTTTGTAGGATGTATTAAACCATTTTTAAATATATATATCTCTCCCTCTGTATATCTGAAAGACTCAGAACTCACCCTGACAGATTACTTTTATTGAAACCATCTTTAAAGAGATTAACCATTAATTCAAGCTGACTTTAAACAAGGTGAAGCATTTAATCATCACTGTTTACAATTGTATAAGGGAAGAGTCAGAGAGGGACAAGACTAACTTTTTTTAATTGGGAAAAACCCATTCTGATGACACAACTGATAAACTGGCAAGTGTCCTTAGGGCAGTCTGAATCTCTTGTTAGCTGAACTTAGACAAGGAAAGTAAAGTATATCCTAACAGTTAATGCACATTTATACAGTAAGGGACTTTCAGTCTCTTAAACACAGCAGAATTATCACAAGCAGACAGCTTCAAACACACAGCTGGCAGTGATTTTAAACAGCAAGAATGGTAGGGTTTTTTTTATCTTACAATGCTGCAGTTAATTCCAAAAACTTTCAAATGCCTTTGTAAAAAACATGTTACAGGGCTCAGCAGATGGCCAAGAAGTGAAAGACAGTGGCCTGCCACGTCAGGAACATTAGAGTAGAAGACTGAAAGATCATTTCCAGTTTTCAGATCTAGGAACTTCTAGATCCAGTTCCTCATCTCTGAAACTTAGGAAAGCAACTAAAAGCTCTGTTGTACCCAAGCACACCATACCATGGTGTATGTTGAAGGGATTGTGTGGCATCCTTGGGTTGTTTTCATATAATCCATGGTGTATGTTGAAGAGATTGTGTGGCATCCTTGGGTTGTTTTCATATATTTTTTTTTTGTTCCCCCCACTCTCTGTGGAGATATTATATATTTTATTTTAATGATATGCTTTAACAAAGAACAAAAACTTTTTGTTGTTATCTGGACCTTGCTGTATTCATTTCTAACTCCAAATGCTTGTGCAGCTGTCTGGACACCAACAGAACAAATGCTTCATCCTTCAGGTACCCAGGAGAGGTGGGAAACACCCTCCAATATGATCAGAGTTGGATACTCCTAAGAATCTCCTAGTATCTGTTATTAGGATCATGTCAAAACAAAACCAGAAAGCAGTACTATTTTCAAAATGGTGCAAGTTTTAAATTGAGTCCATAGTAGAGTGCCAAAGATAGAAGTGCACAACATTAGGCATGTTTTTAACAGTAGAAAATGTTTTGTAGCACTGGGTCAGCGTTCTGGGTTGAGCAGGGGGTTCTGCTCCCATTTATTTCAGTAGGATTAACCTAACTGAATCCCAGTTAACTTTGAAAACCACTTTTCCTCCTGGCACAGTAAGCAGAAAGAGGAAACCACACCTTAATGAAAGTATGTTATCTTAACTACCCTAGTACATTTATACGTTACTCCCTTTAAAGCTTTACAAATATTTATCATGGCTGCCTCAACTGACAAAAGCTTCGTAATATTACTGGTATTTTAAAGCAGTAATTCTCTCCATCCCTTCTTTTCGGAAGACAATGAAAAAAAAAAAGAATAGTGACATTCTCACAGGCTGTTCTACATGCTGTGAGTTCACTTCAGTTTCTGCTAATTTCTAGAAGATTTCTTGAGACAACTTTCCTGATTTGAAGCATAGGGAAAAATTCCGCACAAAGAGGTTGACTTTTGACATAAATGAGACAAAAATAAAGGATGGAGATTTGGGTCAGAAGCAACTTACACACTGCCAGAAGTTGCTAGTACATCACAGTAGCTATTTCTCTGCCTCTTAGAAATCGTTCACTAAATCTAAAAGCCAGCAGCATCAACGACATCTTTTTTTCCATAGCTAATGACGGAACGACACTTACAAAATACAGATGTAACAATGAGTCCTAATAAGCATCGGAGCTTGAAGAAGGGACCTTTTGTTTGCCTTCCTCCCCCTCACCTCAACTAACAATCTTATTTAATGTATTTCTCTTCGTATCACAGTGCTGCTCTTACCAACCTCACCTGCGTTGCATGTTTTGGCAGGGCTCATATGTGCCTTCACACAGGAGCACTAAGGGGCACAAAAATCTTTCCTTCTCATTTGCAGTCTTGGGGGAATGTGTTTTTTCTGGCCAAGGCTGGAAATTTTTTTCCCCACTTCTATTGATTTTGGATTTTTTTTTTTAGACAAAGGAGAAGACACTGGTTATTGCCTACGTGATTTGTTTGCTTATTCTCTGAATTAGATCCAAGTGAAGGAGGACTCTTGCCATAATTGTTATCTTTTATTCTGTTACAGGGGAGAAGGGAGCTCTTGAGATGGGAAGCCCTGAATGTTCTTAGTTTGGCAGCTATTCAGGCACCAAGAATCACAACTGTGTTTAAATATTAGTATCCATTTTTGTCTTTTTTAAGAATAAGTAGACATCCAAGTCATAGGGTTTTTAGATACATTGTAAAAATCATACCAGCAGCTGGGGGTGAGGGACAGGCAATATATCAGCTAATACAATTGCTCCTTTACTTAGATAGATGGAGGTCACCGACACAGCTCAGCAAGATGTGAGCTACCATCATCGTTTGTTTACTCGCCTAGTAGGTGCTTGAGGAGTTGGAGGTTTGGTTTACCACCTCTTGGCATCAAAAGGGTGATTCACAAGTTCCTGCTTGCACTCCTGCAGGATAAGCTCTTATTTTTGAAAAAAAGCAGTCTTAAAAAAATGCTTGCTGGGACTGGTTGTGGCAGTCCAGAGCAGACTCAGTTAAGAGCAGGGAAATGGGTACACTGCCCATCTTCTCGTTGATGCGAGACACAATAACGTCATCTAAGTTGCACCTATTTCCATGACTTGAAATCAGGCTAAGAAAAAGTTTCAGTACAGGTAACTGTTCCTCTAGTCAGAAGGGGACTGGACTGGGGATTTTTCCTTTTGCCCCATGGTACAGTTAAGTACAGCTATCTTGTGCTTATCTTTTATTTGACATCATCTCTTTTCAGGCATTTTTCCTGCTCTCAGCAGTTAATGTTATTGCTGCTTTTCTTTACACACCCTGCCCATGACAGCAAAGCAGTCCTCTTGTACAGAACATTAATTGACGCCACATTTTCTAACATGCGGAGAAGAAAAAAATTCACCTTGTTTTAATAAATTAATCCACAAAACAGGTCCAGCAAGCTGAAGTGAAGTGCATTAGAAGTGATTACATAGCCGGCAAAGCAAGGATATTAAAAAAAAACTAAACTCACCCATAAAAAGTGAGACGCAGGAACCCAATCCTGTGGCCAAGTTTAAACAACTCTCCCTGCTTAGGAGCAGCTCCTGTTAGTAGCACGATTCCTACTTTCTTTAGGGTGCACAGCCACTTGCATGCACTTTCATCATCGTGCATGATTTCTTCAAAAGGTATTTCAGGAAGTTGCAGGTCTGAGCCCCAGTACTGGCGTTCTGGAAGGGAAGAAATAGAGAAAGAAGCGCTTTGCTGTTTTAGCATCAAAGCTCAGGACACGGTCGAAGTACGAAGTTAATGGGATTTCTATACATTTGTGAATACGCTCTCAGTCCTGCAGTCAACCACCTGAAACTGAGTTCTTTGGTTTGCATGGATAACAAGCAATCTTTATGATGAAATTCAACAAAACATTGCAGTTAAAAAATATGAAATAAGAAGTTGAATAAAAAAAGCATTTGAAAGGGATATTTTTGTATTAACGGTACATCAGAAATGTACATATTCCTTCTTCTGTCTGTACTGGTGAACCACAAGAGTGAAAATTTGAAACTAAGGCTCATTTGAAAGATTCTTGTCTAGGGTAAAATAACATGGAGCACTGTGAGATCTCCCTCAGATGTATTATTTATTGTATGGATACATAATAATGAAAAGATCATATTCCTGAAGCAGGACAGGAGAAGACATATATGCATATATGAATATAACAGCTTAGAAGCAGCGTAACTACACGGACTGCATAAGTGACCAATCAATTTTCTTCTGTAGATTTGTCTTCATGAAATGATATCCTGTTACATTAAATTCTGCAGGATGGTGTCATGCCTTGCCTTTTCCTCTGCGAATTTTTGTTTTTTTTGGTGAGCATTTATCTTATTTCAGGAAACAGCAAAGGAGAGCCCAAGATGTTAACAAATCCAAGCACTGCTAGAAGGTAAATAAAATGATGGAAAGTGATGAGTAAGTAGTTACGTCATGCCCATTCTCAAACAAAATTCATTTTAAGAGCATATGATGATAGAAGAAGAACATGAGAACTGCTATTTTCTACCACAATCAGACATCATCTTGCTGAATAGACCTTGTGATATAAAAGGTGGAAACCTGCAGCCATTTGTTAGAGGCAGGTATGGACTTACAGGCAGAATGGAAAGGGCTTTTGAGCCTGCCTTTCCTTCAGACCTTTTGCTGCTCCCCTCTTTCTTTTTGTCCCCTCAAACCAGTGGCAGCTGCATGGCACATCATCCAAAGCTATAAAAGTAGTGAAAAATCTATGCAGCTTTAAAATTAAGTGCTGCTTAGCCTCTTTGTTTTATATGTTTACAGCTACTGCTAAATCTGTGCCCTTCTCTAACTGTATATCTATGCCTGCATCTATAGATGTGGATTTTTAACGCATGACCAATCCTTATTACTGTTTTCTAGTATCACAGTTCTATAATGGTTATTGGCTTTGATTTAATAATGCTTTTTAAAAATCTCATAACCCATCCTAAAGCAATCATGTTCTGGTTGAGTTGGAGAGTTCCCAAATAGATAAGTCACCTAATACAGAGAGAGGAAATAAAACTAAAATACTAGGTCATAACTAGAAAAAAAACTCAATTATTTTCTCTTAACCATATAATTTTCTAAGGAAGAACGTACTCTGGTGTCAGACAACATGGCCTTATCTACATTTGTAAAGATCCTCTAGAAGCACAAGAACAGACAAGCGCAAACATTCAGTGACAAAATAGAGTAATAATTAGATATGGTCATGAAATCTAGACAGATTTTTCATGTTATGAAGAGCTACACAATCCAAATCTCATCTTCCAACATAAATAAGTTCTAGAAATTATACCTAGAGTACTCTGCATTCAACAAAACTGTGCACACTTAAAGTTTTGATCTGTATTACAGTGCTGGAGGCTGCACCTGGAAAAGGAAAGGCTCATTATGTGTCTAGGCAGGCAGCCAGACACAAAGTCCCCAGGCACGGCATGGGAAAGCACGGCAACCGCTCGCAGCGTAAGTCCCACTCTGCCTACTTTAGGTGCCAGGACACCTCCCTCACCTCATCGGGCTTCCCAAGGGGAGAACACACAACTCCTCTAGCATTGATCGTGGCATCTGGTCACCACTGAAAGCAAGGTGATGCCATAACTTCAACTACTGTAGCCAAGGTCTTAGGCCAAAGCCCTTGATTGTCCCTCTGCTCTTCAGGAGCACACGCTGCCTGCAACTCCTGGTCTGTCACTGCAGGTCACTTGGGTGTGTGCTGGCAACCAAAACCAGCATCCTCTGAACTGGTGCACTAGATGTGAAGAGGATGGCTCCCACCAGGTGCAGGGAGAGGAACTCAGCTGAAGCCAGCTGCCCCTGTCCATCCCAGAAGCAGATATTGTTGGTCTGCTTTGCTAAAAATCTTGTGTCTGGGCATTAAGGCATAAACGCACTTGGATTCTGGCTGCCCCTACTCAGATTCTGGACTTAATATTTCTTGCTTTTATTTTTCTTCTTCTTGGTTTATTTTGTGTCCTCTTTCCTATGTGTTTCTTTCCTTCTCATCAGGCAATCTTCGATTTTGAGACCTTGACTTTAGTAGAGATGTCAAGACTGGGATTTTTTCTCTCTCATAAGATCTTCAATAGAAAGGTAAGAAGGAATTCCTATCAGTGGGTCTAATGAAGAAGAATCTTCTTGCATGAAGCAGGTTGTCTTAGCCTTTGTTGGAGGCACTCTCAATTCCAGCGTGAGCCATAGGAATGGCCCAAATGTTTGCAGAGCTAGGCAGTCCCTTCACATGCACCTAAAAATAGCTTCCTTTCCTGCCTCCTTTCTGTCCCAGGACAGAGGTCTCATGCTTTCCATTTTGTTCCTTCCAATTTCAGGTAACATTCGGCTTTCTCCAGGTGAGACACAGACACACGGAGATGAAGAATTTAGTACCTGTCTCTCACTGCTCTTCGTTTTCAGGACTTTGGATGGCTCATGGCAAATGGTGAGGGAACGTGCCTACGCTCACCCAAGGCAGGGCAAAGTCCCAAGATTCCCCATAGGAGTTCAGAAGTGCAGCCAAGAGAAAAGCGCAGGAAACCTCTTCCCATAGCCCAGGCCTCACCAGCTCCTGTGACACATGCAGAGGCATTTCGGCTCTGGCCCAGAGAAGAGAAGCATTATGCAGGAGAGGAGTCCTTCAGGTCCACAGTGATGCTGGAGCTCCCCTTTCAGGGAGGGTGCAGGAAAAAGATAACGGCTTGTTCTCCGCTTCTTGCGCTCCTCAACAGGGGATGACAGCTAACAGGGGAAAGCCTGTCCAGTTATTCATGTCTGAGGACATTTGTAACTGAATTAAGTCTTGGGCCCCTGCTGGGGGAAAGCCTCTCCAGTTACTCATGCCTGAGGTCAAACATATTTAGAGTAAGTCATGGCAACCTCCCCAGAATGATTTTTTTCTTGATATTTTCCCTCAAGTAAACACAAAGTCCTTCAAAAAGACTCCAACAGGGACATTCACCACTGCAGTTGAAGGGCCACCCACTGTAGAGCAAAATAACCCAAGTGGTGGCCTGTTACACACAAAAAGTAGAAGCAAGTTAAGCAAGGTATAAGACTTGTAGTAAACACAGACATAAGCAACAAAGATAATGTAACCAGTGACCGTGTGTCAGCATTTTATAGCTTAATATAAATTCTAAGAGCAAAATCAGCAATTAGCATTTTCTGAAATAGGTACAAAAAACCACACACAGAATAAGGAACCACAAAGAGAAAGACAAGCGCACGTATGAACTATAGGAGACAAGTACAAATAGTAAAATATGAAAGAGCTAAAAACCCCACATGGGCAGCAGGTAGAGAAGGTAACTGGTGAAGCCAAAGTAACCCCACAGGACAACAGGAAATGTGCTGGAAAAACACCCAGAAAACAAATCCTGGTTGCAAAAAAAGAAGCAACTGAGGCACGAGGAGGTGTGCTTCCCACCATCCCTTTAAAGGGAGAAGGAGAAGAATAGAAGACTAAGAAACAATGAGAAAAAAAGACAGTATCTTACTCCAGGTCTGGCTTCCATCACCAGAAGATACTCTTCCCCCCTCACCTCAAAAGTTGGAGAAGCTGCAGCACCAACTCCTGTTTTATACTCGTGGCTAATTTAGGACAAGCTTGTCAAGGACTAATTGTTTCCCTGTGTGTTGATGGTGGTTAAGGCCTAACCCAGGGTGATGTGTACTGTTAATGAATGTAGGTCCAGTAAAGCATTGTTTGGAAGTTTCAAAGGGTGCTGATGTCTTTTGAACCTGTCACCAACTCTCTAAGCGCTATATGTAAAACTAAAGGTACGTATGGACAGATGTACACAGAGGTTCAGTTGTACCAGCCAGGAAGGACAGAGCTGGAGCTCTTTTCCTGCTCCAAATGCAGTAGCATCCTCATATTCCCCAAATAAAACTGACTGCACGAGATGCTATGGGGTGGGCAGGAGAGCAGAGCTCGTCTGCAGAGAAGTCGAGAGGCACTGGCACAAGGGGGACATGGGCAAAAGCGAGTGTGGTGGGATGGGGATGGTGGTGGCTTCTCAGAGGGGTTGGTCCCAGTGAGCTCCTCACAAATAACTGATGGTGGAGACAGGAAAACCAAAGTACCAGGAATCCTGGGGAGGGGGGGAATCACAACAGGGCCACTGAGGAGAAACATCAGCCAGAATGTTTAGACTGTGACAGACCTCGTTAGTAAATGGGTTCCTTGATATGACACATGAAAGAAAAGATGACGGGTATACAAGGTAAGAGTCAAACACCTTGAAACACAATGGGGAGGGTCGGGGGGGGTCATCCGAGGTCAACCAATTAGCCCATGGAGTTACTTGAGATCAACCAATTGGCCTGTGGGTGTTAGTGAGGATGTAAGGGACTGTGTTGGATATTTGTGTCAACATTGATGGAACAACAAACTGCCAGCTGACACCACTGCCATATCAACAGAGGACCAGTCGGACCGCCTGGCTTCTTACGAACCTGAAGGTGGAGCAGATGCTAAGAAATCTAACATAATCCCCTGCGCATGCACACAGACCAAGGGCCTGGAGGACAGAGGGGGCTGGAGACCCCTGAAGACCCCCTAGTGACAGTATCAGGCACAAGTACCACCACTGGGTGGTCGGTGCGGGTAAGCAAAGCAGCTCTTGGGATATGCTAAAGTGATTCTTGGAAGAATGAATCCCAATAAAGGAGCAGAAACGACCAACATAGGATGGAACGTCCCCCACCAGACTTGA